AGTTATATTTTTCATAATAATTTTTCTATATACATTTTTAATATTATATTTTATATACTATATTATAAAAATCATTAAAAACCTTGGTTAATCTCCAATAAATATCTAATAAGCCTTTTAAAATTCTTAATAAAATTCTCAATAAATCTCCATTAAATTCTAAATAAATTCGTAATGAAACTTCTAAAATATTTAATAGATCTCCATACAATCTTAAATAAAAATGAATCTCTTAAAAAAAGCTTATTAAAAAAGTTGAAACCCAATTAACTCAGCTGCAACATTGACTTATCTTCTTTATAATATTTATTTTCATTTAGAGTGAAATGACTACAACCTATCCTTTTCCATCAATATGCATACATTATAATGACCAAGAAATGCAATTGCTCTAAACATTCACATGATTTTATGCATTATTTCTGTTCAAAATTCAAACTTTTTTCTATGAAGAAAAATCCAGTTAATTTGAGATACTAAACCTGCGCCACATGCTTCTAGTCCAATGATGACTTCCTTTTCCTTCTTTGTTTTCATTCCTTTTCATCAAGTATTAAAGCAATTAATGTTTCACTTTTTTCTTTATACTTTTTATACGTTGATTATGGTTTCACACAAAACTTTTTTTCTGTATATTTTTCACACGTTAATATATAATTCAATATTCCAAAAAACTTGAACTTATTCCATGTGACAAAACTTTCTTCTCTATACTTTTCACATGTTAATGTATAGTCCAATATTCCAAAAAACCTCAACTTATTCCACACGTTAATATACTAAACCCACATCACATGTTTCTAGCCCAACAATGACTTCCCCTTTCCCCTTTCCCCTTTCCCCTTTTGCTTTCATTCTTTTTCATCAAGTATTAAAGCAATTAATGTTCTACCTTTTTTCTCTAAACTTTTAATACGTTAATTATGATTTTACACAAAACTTTCTTTTTTACACTTCCCACACGTTAATATATAATTGGTTAAATACCCTTTTTTAGTCCCTGTACCGAAAAAATCCCTTTTTTGGTCCTTACTGTTCACAAATCCGACCCATTTTTAGTCCCTCCGTTAAATTTTAGCTGATTTGGCAGGTTAATCAACGGAAACACTCCTTTCTTTTTTTTATTAAATTACGTGAATTTTCCACGTGGCAAAAATTGATGACATGTTAAATTTTTTACTTTTAATTACTGATATACTCTCGTCTTCTTCCCCGGCTTCTCCTTCCTCTAGCCTTTTTTTTTCTTTTACCTCCAGGCAATCCCAAGAGCCTGGGTTCGCAAAACCTAAAAGGCAGCCATAACGAACAAACAAAATGAACCAACC